TCTTAGCAGAAATAACCGTTTATCCAGAGAAGCAGTCGAGCAGGAGCTAACCAGCAGCGACTGCAGCCATACAGCAGCCTCTGTGCCGTCTGCAGTCTGAAGGCCGCGGTTCTGGACAGAATGTCTACAAGTTCTTGTCCTCCCTCTGCCACAGGGAGATACAAGACCGACGCCCTCAGCCAGTGTTGACTGGACCAGAAGAAGTTCACCAGGAGCCGCTGCACCTCTTTCAACAGGCCTGCCGGTGGCACCAGCACGATGAGCTTGTGCCACAGAGATGATGCGACCAGGTTATTCACTATCAAAGCTCTTCCTCTATACGACAGGTGAGGTAGCAACCATTTCCATTTAGACAACCTGGCTTCTACCTTTTCCAGCACTCCCTCCCAGTTCTGCCTCTGAAAGTCCTCACTCCCTAGAAAACTCGTAGGCTTTTTATACCCCTTTTTCCTCACCTAAGGTTCCCAGGAAGACCAGGAGTGCTCCCCACGCACCACTCCCCCACCAAACAAGCCTTTTTCCCCAGATCACCTTGGCAGAGGAAGCTTTTCCATACAAGGCCAAACTTTCTTCTAGCTCTTGAATGTCTCCCTGATTGCAAATAAATACATTTACATCATCAGCATATGCTGACACAACAACAGGGGGTGTCTGAGCCAGCTCTGGCAGGAAAAGACCCCTCAGTCTGCTCCTCAACCTGCAGAGGAGAGGCTCAATAGCAAAGCTGTAAAGCTGGCCTGAGATGGGGCAGCCTTGTCTGATCCCTCTCCTAACTGGCACAGCGACGCTCAACCCACCTCCCACCTTCACCACACAACAAGCATCACGGTACAGCAGCTTTGCCCAAGACAGAAAACCCTCCCCAACACCAAAAGCCTGTAAGGTAGAAAAAAGAAACTCCACACGGTCGAAAGCCTTCTCCTCAATAGATATGATACCAACATTGATGTTATATACTTTGCAAATATCACAAACATCTCTCATTAAAATCAAACTGTCCGGTACACAGTATGATTGATCTGCACCAATTAAAAACTAAATAACAGCTCTGCAGAAATACCATTTTTAACAGGCCTAGTAAAAATCTAAAATCAATATGTGGCGGTCAGCGTTGATATTGAGGCAGCCGCCACAAATAAATCCATGTATGGGAACCCTGTACTGTTCAGCTGCACTATCTGTGGCCCGGTCTCAGTGTCTGTGGCCCTGGTGCTGGTACTACTACAGAGCCAGTCGTTATTTTTTTACATTTACTTGCATTTCAGTGAAACTCTGCTTTTCCATTTTCTGTTGTAGCTCGGTTTCCAGCTATCAGTGGAAGGGACAGATGTTCATCTGGAATAGACCAACAGGCCTGGGGATAATGGGGGTCGGCCCGTGACGCTCAACCTTCTACCAACCTCCGGGATTTGTCCCGGTTCTCCAGACTGCCATTTGAAAAGTTCTGAAGGACAATCATTTCTGGCCCGCCATCTAACAGCTTGAAAGAAATGTGGTCCGATGCCAGACTTCTTAGCCGACCCCTGATCTGGAGTGTTTGTTCTTTATTAATTCTAGCTGTGGGACAGGGACAAGGTTTAGTTTCACTACTGATCCATTTGTGTTGTCTTAGTATTCCCCTGTTAGCCTCTCTAGGGTTATGGCTGCTGCTCTCTTTGTGTTTTGCCTTTTTAAACCATTTGGAGCTGAAGAGAGATCTTCTTTTGTTTCACTTTATTTTGTGGAGCTTGGTAACTGTCTCTCTTAGTGGAGACCTCTTTTTGTTCTGTGGTTTTTATGGTTTAAGCAGAACCCAGAAGGCCCTTTACTGTGGTTCTACATTTGTGTTAAACTCTCACTTTCCAATTAAACACCTTTTCACCAAAAACATGCAGTTTATGTGCTTTCTTTACCCATCGAGCCGGGACGTAACAAAGAGGTTCAGAGTGAATTATCCAGTGGAGATGTTTCTTGTTTTAGTAAGATTTTAAATGTGGAGCTCAACATTGCTCTGCCACAGTCAATGGACTAAACCACTGAAGAAGAAAAGAGACTTTAGCATTAAGATCCTCAGTGTGGATCAGTATAATATCAGCCTGATGTCTGCACTTTAGTGTCACCACAACTTTCACATCATATTAATCTCAGCACAGAAGGAAAAAATGGTGTCTGACCTCAGAGTCTCCAGTCTGCAGTGTGGATCCTCCAGAACATCACAGAGCAGCTTCACTCCTGAATCCTGCAGCTTGTTCCAGCTCAGGTCCAGCTCTCTCAGATGGGAGAGGTTGGACTTCAGAGCTGAGGCCACAGAAGCATAGCTGATCTCTGACAAACTGCAGCCCCTCAATCTGAATAAAGAATAAATGATGGAGATAATAATCCATTTCTAATCGAATCATCAGATGTGTTCAGGTTTTAAATGTGGAGCTCAACACTACTACCTTCCAGCGCCGCAGAGAGTGGCAGCATGACACAGTAGCTCCCTCCCCTATCCTAGTTTTAACCTTTTTTATCTTTTATATCACAGAACTTTAGACAGACCCAACAACATGTTGCTCTGTGAGCTCTGCAAACTGGAAATGTCTTCACTGCAGCACAACTGCTGAGCACGAACAAGTGAAAGCATCCTGGAGCTCTTTTTCGAGACAGCAGCACGTTCACTTTTGTCCCCACACAAGCCCGATATATATATATATTTCTATTGAACTTACATCATAACGTTAAGCAGGTGCAGGTGGATCAGGACCTGGTGGCCTGGATTGCTGACTGCCTCACTGACAGGCCGCTTTATATCAGTGCCTGAGAGGAGGATGAGAGGGAAGCTGAAGTTTCTAAGCTCCTTCAGCCTCAGACTCATCCAGCCCCGAGCCTCAAAGAGCTTTGGAGGCTCATTTGTGGGACGTTGTCATTGTGTTATTGTGGATCATCATAATGTCAGCCTTCTACAGACATCATCCAAATGTCAGCACAACATTCATACACCTATTCATGTCAACACAGATCAATAACATGCTGCTGATCTCAGGACAGTCTGGAATAATGATCAAATCAGACACTTTAATTTTCTTCTGCTTCTTATAATTCAGAACAATTTGGTGTCATTTTGTGAAAAATACTAAGACAGATGTTTTCTACAGAATTCCAAAATGTTCAATATGAAATAAATAAGTAAATACAAAACTCCAGCTCTTTAACATCTGTCCCAGCACTTCTGGTTCTCATTTCAAAGCACAGATTTAGCCTCTCCTCATCACCACTGTCATCTCCATCAACACACAGCTGACTGACTGTGAGCTTCATCCTCAGTCGTCCTTCTAACTGGATCAAATGTGCACTGAGCAAAGAGAGAGTCTCGTTCTCTTCATCTTAAATGTAACCGAGTTCCTTCCTGTACAAATGTAGTGTATTATTTATGCTCCTGTTTACTGGCTGAGTCAGAACACAAAGTCACATCAAATGATGTGGTGTAGGGCTGGGCCCAATTATCCACGAAATTGATGTCATCGATTAGGAAATATCTTTATTTGCATAACATGCGTCGGCGGGTCGCAGTGAAGTGCTGCGTCCAGTTGAAGCAGCGATTCCGTCCGGAGAACAAAAAAATGACCATCACACAGAATTTTAGACATGTTCAAAGTTATTTCTGCACTGCTGTTGTCATGGTAACAGTTTATATTTGCCGTTTACTTCACTAGCAAGGACCAGATCAACAGATAGGATTAAACGATACGAGTATAGCCTCGCCCTACACCACTCCCAGCTGGTTTTAGTTTCTACACCCCTGCTTCCACCGTCTGTGTGTGTGTTTGCTAAATGAGTGAGTGAACTGAGACGTGAGTGACGGTAGATACAGCTGTCGGATCACAAGTTAATCTGAGCATGTACCGTGGCCACAGTTGACTCCACGCTGTGTTCGGGCAGATTGTAAACATTCAGACTGTTCCACTTACAGGCTGTAGGACAAACTGTTCTCAGATCACCTTCAGACGAATAACGATGATACAAGACTCCAAAATCTGACAAGTAGACTAGCAGAGCACACGTGCAAGCTAGCAGTCAGCTATTCCAACGAGTAGTTTGAAGAAGAGACAGGAGAGAAAAGAACAGGAGGAGAGGGTCGCTCCCATTAACTCTAATGGAACCGGACTGAAACCAGCGAACTCGCCCCCTGCTGGCCGTTAGAGAGGATGCAGGTTTAAGTTCCATCTGCATGGTTTCACTTTACTTTGCCGCTTGATTGAGATTAGAGAAATAACTTTTGACAACCATTCGTCACTACAACTCTTGATTGGCCAACGGTGCGCCATGAGCTGCAAAACAGCTGCAGGATGTTGAGTTTCTAATGCGATTTTTTTGTTTTCGTTTTTATAATAGGCCTACTAATTTTTTGTTTCGACGGGCCAGTGAGTTGCTAGTTCAGCTGTCCCGACGGTACTTTTTACATTGAGCCGCAGTTATTGTCGAGCCCTGGATGTGGAAAAAGACTCTTTTTAACTCCTATTATCATTATTCTAATGCTTTATGAGTCTCTTTTTCAGGATGATTGAATAAAATATTGAATTATTATTGAGACAGGTTTTGATATTTATTTTAATTGTAATACAAAAAATAATCTCTAGAATAGCAAATAAATTAGTTGTTAGATTAATCAGTTTTAATTGTTAGGTGCATCCCTATCACGGTAACAGATCAGACACGATACTTCAAACAGCTGCATCTGGAAATATGCTTTACACTGTGTGTGTTTTTGAGTTGCTATGTATAAATGAATTACTTCCTGTAAAAAACTGTATTCTAAAGGTTTTGTATAAAAGTACATTATTCCTGAAAATGTGTTGAACTTCTTTTAATTTTTATATATACCTGTGTCTAACTTGTAACAAAAATGATAAACATTGGATTTAATTTCACAGCACATTGAGGATAAATCCTACAGTTGCCTTAATAACATGAATCCAGTTTGAGTTCAGACTAAATGCGGAAACTGTTCAGACAGACAAGAGCAAAATACATGAACTGACCTCAGAGTCTCCAGTCTACAATGTGGACTCTCCAGTCCAGCAGACAGAAGCTTCACTCCTGAATCCTGCAGGTTGTTGCGGCTCAGGTCCAGCTCTCTCAGATGGGAGGGGTTGGACTTCAGAGCTGAGGCCACGACTTCATAGTGAGTCTCTGAGAGTTTACAGCCAGAAAGACTGTGATGACAGAAGATAAAACTTAAAGTATAATAAAATCTGACACTTTGTTCTAAAAACAAACAAAGGCACAGTTAATTTTGCATCACAAAGCACATTAACATGAGCGGCTGCAGCTCAGCTGCTCAGCCATTGATCACAAGGTTTGTGGTTTGAAACTTGAGCTCCTCCTGTCCACATGTCAAAGTGTCAACATAATGAAGCACATTATTACTGCTTTGGACAAAAGTGTCTGACTGTAATGTGAACATGTATTGTGATTAACACGTGCCTTGATTTGTGTTTGTTAAACTTTATTTTAACGTGATGTTCACTGAGCTGTAAAATCACTGCAGGTTGAACTGCACTTGTATGGATTTACCTCAGTCATGTGCTTGTGTGTGTTTATCTTATTATGTCACTGCATCTGCTTTTCATCTCCCATTAAATTCATGTAATGACATCTATTGCATTGATAGTATAATTATTACTGAAGATATTAACATGTTATTATTAACATGTTATAGGTAAAAGTTGTTCTCAAGTGGAGTTCAGCTGTTTAACAGCATCATTTCTTCTCTGAGCTCGATGATGATAAAATCCCTCCACTGAACTGAAGCTGCTGAGCTCTCCTTCACTGGCAGAATGAACCTGGAGGCCGTCCCAGCAGCTGACTGTGTAATGAGCTGCTGTCTGAGGAAACCAGCTGCTAAATACACAAAGACTGTCCATTCAAATCCTCCCAGAGAGAGAGCTTCCTTACTGTTTCTAAATCAAACTCATTTCTAATGCAGCAAAACACATGAAGAGACATTCATTGTTGGAACTAAACTATGTAAAGTGGCACCTTTTATTTAACGAGGATGGAGAGGGGGATGTTCTGTTTCTCTTCAAGAGGGAGGATGGCCTCCCCTCACATCCTCTCAAATCAAACAATAATTAGAGATATTGTATAAACAGAACAGTCCTTCATATGAAATAGCTCAGAAACTGCAGAGAATATAATGAAAACCCTTCAAGTGCCGTTAGCTCCAGCAGATCACAGATACGACATGTCTGTGTGTCTGCATAGAAGAACAAAAAAACAGACACAGTATAGAAACAGAGTGCAGACACTGGATCAGTGGAAAAAAAAAAAGACTGCTGTGATAAAATGACGACTGTCAAAACATTTTCAGCACAAACTCTTAATCCTCAAGTTTTTCTGCTGGATTTGTATCAAGCCTCCATCACCCAAAGAAAGATAGAAGATGATAGAAGATACTTTTGTCACTAACTTGATGGATAGAAACACAGAAATGATGTTTGGAGACATTTGAAGTAGACACATGTAGAATTATTTCAATCAGCAGCTTTAAGACTAGTTTAGGAAACTTTTATAGTGTGGAGGTTTTATATTGAGCGAGTGTGTAAAGTGTGTATCTTTACTGTAATACTGATGCTTCATCTTTACAGTGTTGATAATCACATCTGGACTTACCGAAACTTTCTGCAGTTCCACACAGCTGGAATCAGTCTCAGTCGTCCCTCCTCTGATGTGTTGTACTTCTCCAGGTCCAACTCATCCAGAACCTCCTCTGACATCTGCAGCATGTAGGCCAGAGCTGAGCAGTGGATCACAGAGAGTTCCTTCTCTGATCTGTTCTCTGACTTCAGGAACTCTTGGATCTCCTGATGTACTGAGTGGTCGTTCATCTCCGTCAGACAGTGGAAGATGTTGATGCTTCTGTCAGGAGAGATCCCATCACTGTTCATCTCCTTCAGGTTGTTGATGGCTCTCTGGATGATTTCTGGACTGTTGTCTGTCCGACCCAGCAGGCCTCCTAAGAGTTTCTGGTTGGACTCCAGAGAGAGGCCATGAAGGAAGCGAACAAACAGGTCCAGGTGGCCATTTTTACTTTCAAGGGATTTCTGCATGGCTCTCCTCAGAAAGAAATCCCCCAGGAAGTCCTCCAGTACCTTTGTGTTCCTGTTGGTGTAACAGTGGAACATGTAGACTGCAGCCAGAAACTCCTGAACGCTCAGATGAACAAAGCAGTAGACTGTTTTCTGGAAGATCACACTCTCTCTTTTGAAGATCTCTGTACAAACTCCTGAGTACACCGAGGCCTCTGTGACATCAAGACCACACTGCTCCAGGTCTTCTTGGTAGAACATGATGTTTCCTTTCTCCAGCTGTTCAAACGCCAGCCTCCCCAGCTTCAGAAGAACCTCCCTGTCAGCCTCCATTAGCTCCTGTGGACTCGTCTCATGTCCCTCATCGTACTTCTGCTTCTTCCTCTTTATCTGAACCAGCAGGAAGTGTGAGTACAGGTCAGTCAGGGTCTTGGGCAGCTCTCCTCTCTGGTCTGTAGTCAACATGTGCTCCAGAACTGTAGCAGTGATCCAGCAGAAGACTGGGATTAGACACATGATGTGGAGGCTCCTGGAGGTCTTGATGTGTGAGATGATTCTGCTGGACAGCTCTTCATCACTGACTCTCCTCCTGAAGTACTCCTCCTTCTGGGCGTCAGTGAAGCCTCGTACTTCCGTTACCCTGTCAACACACGAAGGAGGGATCCGATTGGCCGCCGCAGGTCTGGAAGTTATCCAGACGAGAGCCGAGGGAAGCAGATTCCCCTCGATGAGGTTTTTCAGCAGCAGGTTGACTGATGACTTCTGTGTGACATCAGACACAACCTCACTGTTGTGGAAATCCAATGAAAGTCTGCTTTCATCCAGGCCGTCAAAGATGAACAACAGTTTCCAGACGGCGAGCTTCTCTGCTGGGACCTTCTGTAATGTTGGATGGAAAACATGGAGCAGCGTGAGGAGACTGTGCCGCTCATCTTTGATCAAGTTCAGCTCCCTGAACGAGAGCAGAACCAGCAGACTGACATCTTGGTTTTCCGAGCCCTCTGCCCAGTCCAGAGTGAACTTCTGCACTGAGAAGGTTTTTCCAACGCCAGCGACGCCGTTGGTCAGAACCACTCTGATGGCTCTCTGTTGGCCAGGTAAGGCTTTAAAGATGTCCTGGCACCTGATTGGAGTGTCATGGAGGGTCTTCTTCTTGGAAGCTGTCTCAAGCTGCCTCACCTCATGCTGGGTATTAACCTCTTCACTCTGTCCCTCTGTGATGTAGAGCTCAATGTAGATCCTGCTGAGGAGGGTTCCACTTCCTGTTTCATCACTTCCTTCAGTCACACATTCACATCTCCTCCTCAGACTGATCTTATGTTCATCTAAAACCTCCTGCAGACCACCTCTCACTAAAGAAGAGAAACAATGTGAGATAAAACAAAGAATATGTGCTGATTATTTTCATTACTAATATAAAAACCATCAATATCAGAATATCTGAAGAAGCAGACAGATGTCCAGTCTTACTTTGTACAGAGCTGCTCTGACTGGCTGTCTGCAGTCCAGCTCTGGTTCTGGATCTGTCTCCACACTGGGGACAGGAGGAGTGTCCTGATGAAGCAGACTGGTCCCAGTATGAGGTGATGCACAGTCTGCAGAACCAGTGTCCACAGCTGGTAGAGACTGGATCCTTCAGGACGTCCTGACACAAAGCACAGCAGGACGGCTGCTCCTCCACACTGTAAAAAAATCAAAATTCTATGAAAATAACTTTTTTACAGTAGTTTTCTTTTTTTTTTAAGAGTTCATATAATGATTTTTGGCTTCTTCCCTCTCCTTTATGGAGTTCTATATTTTTTGTGCATGTAATAGGTTTGCAAAGTGAAAAAGTTCGAGGTCCAACCCATCTCCCTCAGAAAACTCTGCTCTGAACTTCCTGAAAACAGCTCGTTTTAAGTTACCAGGTGATGTTATATTTTTGTTTTTTATGTATGAAAGCCTTAACTATGGCGTGTCGGTCCTGCAGCTGCTTTGCTCTTTTGTTAGCACCGCTCTGTACCGTCACTTTCATTTGTGCTTGCATGTATCCTGTAGTGACAGTACTAGCTAATCACAGCTGGAAGGGGAAAGAAACACAATTCAAACGAAGCAAATGAGAAAGTGCTGTGAATAACAGGAGGTGGGCTGTGTGGCTGCAGCGGTGTGTGTATCAGCTTACTGTCGGGGAGAAGAGATTGTTTTCAGAATCGATATGTTTCACCACTAGAGTCCGCTAAAACCAATAACCAACCAGCTCCCAGCACAACACTGACGGCAACACAAACTCCACATGAGGCTAAAAACCAACGACATAGTTTTATGTGATGAAGCCCTTCAGGCCAAACGAGAATCAACTTTGGGTGAAAACATAGTCAACATCAGAAAGGCTGGAGTCACGGAGAGACCAATGCTTGTTCTGGAACCAACAAAACCGACACAGAGTTGGCTTTCGTCCTGTTGGACAGGTAAACTAACATTACTGCTAAACATGTCAAATATATTGGGGTGTTGTGCTTTAGCTGGTTAGCTCGCTGGCTAACGCAGAGCAGTTTCTAACGTTATTCGGTGCAAAATAGTTATTTCACTTTCCACGTTACTTCACCAGCTGATCCACATTACCATCCTGTGCACCACTGGTATTATGTCAAGGTGTCGATTTAGCCTGCAAAGCAAATGTGGAGAGATTTGTTTAATAGCCTTGATGCAAGGCAGGTGCAGCCAGCTGAGTTTCCAGCATGTTGTGTGAAGCTGTCTCTGCAGAGTCTGGATATGTGTCTCGCTCATGAGTTTAAGAACGCAGACGAGCACACACCTGGTTGAAATCTAAAATCTGCACCGCTAGTGAAAATATTACCTGCATTAAGAGAGAGAGAGAGCTTTTGTGGTGAGTTTAGATTTTCTTACTAACACGCTGTATCAGGATGAATAAAGACAGTTTGATGTTTGTCCACTTATATTATCAGAACTACACGGAGCCTCCAGGGGTCGGGAGAATATTGTGGAAAACAACAACCCTCTCAACAGCAATGTGTTGCTTTGAAATGACATCACGACCTCATCGTCATAGTAACCCTAACAGACGAGCTCATTGGGAAGTGACAGTTTTTCACTTCCTCCTGCAGGCTCTGAAGAACGATTTGTGAATAATCGGTTAATATTGTAAATTTACATCTGAATACATTGTAGTGGGACAACGGTGTGGATTTGTGCATTTTATATTAAATAAATTTGGAGCTACTCCAAATTCCTCTTTTCCTCTCCCAGAGAGGAGCAGGGGGGTTAAAGATCAACTTCAACAGAAAGGGGGTGGAAAGGTTGCTTTCTCTAAGTGCTATCCCTGAGCAGCCTGATCATAAAACTGGCACCTTTTTGATTCCGAAGCTGATAACGTGGTGACTGACTGTTAAACTGACAAAAGGGAAATTAACCAGAGATTACAAACAGCCTATCGACCAAGTTCCCTTTTAAGCTTGTTCGTCGAGCCAACTTCACTGAGGTCAGACCAAGCCACGTGGTCTCGCCAGCGGCAACGAAGGAAACCTGAAAACAGCCGAATTGCCAGACGGAGGACGGCCAAACCTTGAAGTTTTCTTCAGACACGGAGAACCCCGGAGTATCCCTAGTAAAAAGCCAGGATCGGACAGCTAGCGTGGGACCCGTGCAACAGGCCAAAGCAGGCCGTCGACAAGCAGTAAGACCTAACAAACATTCTGTTGTCAGAGATGTCCTGTAATGTTAATAATTCCTTTTAACTCCTAAACTCATAGCTTACTTTCATTAGTTCTCCTCTGCCATATGAGTCAAATGCTGTCCACAATCCAATCTCCATTTCTCATTGTTTATTTTCCCTGTATTTAACCACCCTTTTATGTCGCTTTAGTTAGTTAATAAATTCACTGTTATCAAGAAGCTGTGTGTATTGACTATCTCCACGTCCCTGCCAAGAGAATTGACCCTTTAGATATGAGACTGACTGATTTGGACTTTAAGATACTGGAAGACGTTTCGTCCCTCATCCAAGAGACTTCTTCAGTTCTGACTGGCTGGTAGGGAAACTCAGCTATTTAACCTCTGTGGGGTCGTTATCAAGATGATCGATACCGCTGGTTCGTTAGAGCTCCTGGCCGTTTTGGTCAGTCGTTATGGTCATTAGAGCCGCCTGAGGCAAAGTCTCTTGGATGAGGGACGAAATGTCTTCCAATATCTTCAGCCAAGTCCAGTTGTCCTTGATTTGAACCTTCCTTGGATGCAATTTAATTGAAAGTGTTAGAATCTTCTACATATTTCACAGTAATCTTCATGTTTATATTTCATGACACTATAACGTGACTTCTCTTCCTCTCTCTGTGAAGACATTTCTTTAGAACTAAAATGATTTGTTGCTTGTTGTTGAAAAATCTCCAGATGTGTCCGACACTGTGTAGAAGCTCAGATGGTCACAGAGTAAAAGTGTCGTTACTTTTCTGTTTGAATTCAGCTTTCAGTCAGTAATGAAGATGATTGTTCCTTTTATTTCAGCTCTCCTGCTCTCAGAAACACTAATTAACTGCTTTTCCTGTCTGACTGTCTTATTAAACATTTAGTGATCTGCCTGCAGTTTGTTATTAACACAAACTCAACACTTCCTGCAGCTCCTTCACAGTAAAAGCCTCCATTAAAGAGAGCTGATTATGTCCTTCACTGTTTTACAGTCACTCTGGGCAGCTTAGCTTGAGTTAGTTAGCTTTGAACTGAGCTTAGAAGTGGTCTAAACACACAGCATGTAACAGCGGTGTCACAGGTTCAAGTCCACACGGAGCCTTGTTTGGATGTCATTCTGTTTCCTGTCACTCTCTACTGTCAACTATCACATGAAAACTATTCAAATATTGTAAAAAGAGAAGTGGTCCAATTTTCTGCCCTTTTTCCATCCACTGCTAACTTTTCCATCAGTGCTGCCCGTGGATGTTTGTTCTTCACCTTTAGGAACAATATATGGTGGAGAGAATCTGAGCTCAAAGCTCCACTTACTAATGATTCAAAGCATAGTGTTCATCAAGGTGAGCAAAGCTGAACTACAAATGCTTTTTCACCACATGTTGCACAATTATGATCTGAAGTGATTCAAGATGCATCTGGTGGATCAGAACAGCTGATCTGAGGAAGATCCAAACAGCTCAGTGTTTAGAGGACAAATAGGAGAAAATGAAGGACACATTTGAAGCAGATTCTTTCAGATTCTGAATCCTTCTAAATCTTTACAGTGACGTCAACGTGAGGGCAAAAATATATGAAGATGTTCTTGAAGTGTAAATTCTGAAATGGAGGTTCTCAGGTGTTTTGCTCCAGAAATCAAATCAGATCCATCTTAGTTTGAAACAGTATCTGCACTAATAGTTCTGCATCAGGAATATAAATCTGTTAGCAGAACATTTTGTCTTCATCCTCAATGCATCATCTTCCATCAGGTCAGTTTACAGTAAAAACAGTCTCTTACTTTGAGTCTGAGGGTCCAGGTTCAGGACTGAAGTCTGGAGGACGGTTTTTGGGCTGGTCACTCTTCATAGACAGACAGCTGGATCCTGCAGACTCTGCTCCGTCTTCCTCGACACAAACACTCATCTTCTGGACTTCAGTCAGTCTGAGAGGTAAAACAGTAAAACTGACTGTGAGCTCAGAACACAAGAATCAGGAAACAGGTTTGTTCAATGGTCACAAGACAGAGAGAACAGAAAGTAACACACAGACACATTTTTAAAATAACGCTTTCCCCAGCCTCTTACTGTAGCCTTAATCTAATCATAACTTAAAAGCTAAAAACGAAGTCTTCGCCATCAAAAATCTCCACCCAGTCTCCACCCACATGGACATGAGTCCTCATGGGTTAGTACGCATTCAGGAAAAAGTCCCCCACAAGATAAAAGAACATAAAACATCCATCCATCGTCAACCGCTTATCCTGCGTACAGGGTTGCGGGGAGCTGGAGCCAATCCCAGCTGACATCGTGCTCAAGGCGGGGTACACCCTGGACAGGTGTGTCAACTCGTTGTTGATGTTGTGTAATGTTAATTCAAGTAGTGTGGACTATGTGTCTTTGATGCGTGTATTGTAAGATTAATGATTAATGTTTGTTTTAGTTTCACGGTGCGTGATGGAACAATAAAGATATTGCACCGGTCGAACTCCACGCGGGTTTATTGATGCCAACGGCTGCTACACAGGCTTTACATCACAACCAGAGTAACATGATGTCAGCAGCGGAAGTGAAAGCACCTTTAAAACAGCAGCAAAATCAATGCACTGCACAGAAACATTAGTGACAGCATGAACGACTAAAACAAGGTGACAGCAAGAAAAACTAAAACAGGTGACAGCATTAAAGACTAAAACAAGGTGACAGCATGAAAGACTAAAACAAGATGACAGCATGAAAAACTAAACCAGGTGACAGCATTAAAGACTAAAACAAGGTGACAGCATGAAAAACTAAAACAAGGTGACAGCATGAAAAACTAAAACAAGGTGACAGCATGAAAAACTAAAACAGGTGACAGCATGAAAGGCTAAAACAAGATGACAGCATGAAATAACTAAAACATGTGACAGCATGAAAGACTAAAACAAGGTGACAGCATGAAAAACTAAAACAAGGTGACAGCAAGAAAAACTAAAACAGGTGACAGCATTAAAGACTAAAACAAGGTGACAGCATGAAAGACTAAAACAAGATGACAGCATGAAAAACAAACAGGTGACAGCATGAAAGACTAAAACAAGGTGACAGCATGAAAGACTAAAACAAGGTGACAGCATGAAAAACTAAAACAAGGTGACAGCATGAATGACTAAAACAAGGTGAGAGCATGAAAGGCTAAAACAAGATGACAGCATGAAAAAACTAAAACAGATGACAGCATGAAAAACTAAAACAAGGTGACACCATGAAAAACTAAAACAAGATGACAGCATGAAAAACCAAACCAGGTGACAGCATTAAAGACTAAAACAAGGTGACAGCATGAAAAACTAAAACAAGGTGACAGCATGAAAAACTAAAACAAGGTGAGAGCATGAAAGACTAAAACAAGGTGAGAGCATGAAAGGCTAAAACAAGGTGACAGCATGAAAAACTAAAACAAGGTGACAGCATGAAAGACTAAAACAAGGTGACAGCATGAAAGACTAAAACAAGGTGACAGCATGAAAAACTAAAACAAGGTGAGAGCATGAAAGGCTACAACAAGGTGAGAGCATGAAAGGCTAAAACAAGATGACAGCATGAAAAAACTAAAACAGGGTGACAGCATGAAAAACTAAAACAAGGTGACACCATGAAAGACTAAAACAAGATGACAGCATGAAAAACAAACAGGTGACAGCATGAAAGACTAAAACAAGGTGACAGCATGAAAGACTAAAACAAGGTGACAGCATGAAAAACTAAAACAAGGTGACAGCATGAATGACTAAAACAAGGTGAGAGCATGAAAGGCTAAAACAAGATGACAGCATGAAAAAACTAAAACAGATGACAGCATGAAAAACTAAAACAAGGTGACACCATGAAAAACTAAAACAAGATGACAGCATGAAAAACCAAACCAGGTGACAGCATTAAAGACTAAAACAAGGTGACAGCATGAAAAACTAAAACAAGGTGACAGCATGAAAAACTAAAACAAGGTGAGAGCATGAAAGACTAAAACAAGGTGAGAGCATGAAAGGCTAAAACAAGGTGACAGCATGAAAAACTAAAACAAGGTGACAGCATGAAAGACTAAAACAAGGTGACAGCATGAAAGACTAAAACAAGGTGACAGCATGAAAAACTAAAACAAGGTGAGAGCATGAAAGGCTACAACAAGGTGAGAGCATGAAAGGCTAAAACAAGATGACAGCATGAAAAAACTAAAACAGGGTGACAGCATGAAAAACTAAAACAAGGTGACACCATGAAAAACTAAAACAAGATGACAGCATGACAGACTAAAACAGGTGACAGCATTAAAGACTAAAACAAGGTGACAGCATGAAAAACTAAAACAAGATGACAGCATGAAAAACCATACCAGGTGACAGCATTAAAGACTAAAACAAGGTGACAGCATGAAAAACTAAAACAAGGTGACAGCATGAAAAACTAAAACAGGTGACAGCATGAAAAACTAAAACAAGGTGAGAGCATGAAAGGCTAAAACAGGGTGACAGCATGAAAGGCTAAAACAAGGTGACAGCATGAAAAACTAAAACAGGTGACAGCATGAAAAACTAAAACAAGGTGAGAGCATGAAAGACTAAAACAAGGTGAGAGCATGAAAGGCTAAAACAAGGTGACAGCATGAAAAACTAAAACAAGGTGACAGCATGAAAGACTAAAACAAGGTGACAGCATGAAAGACTAAAACAAGGTGACAGCATGAAAAACTAAAACAAGGTGAAAGCATGAATGACTAAAACAAGGTGACAGCATGAAAGACTACAACAAGGTGAGAGCATGAAAGGCTAAAACAAGATGACAGCATGAAAAAACTAAAACAGGGTGACAGCATGAAAAACTAAAACAAGATGACAGCATGACAGACTAAAACAGGTGACAGCATTAAAGACTAAAACAAGGTGACAGCTTTAAAGACTAAAACAAGGTGACAGCTTTAAAGACTAAAACAAGGTGACAGCATGAAAGACTAAACCAGGTGACAGCATGAAAGACTAAAACAAGGTGACAGCATGAAAGACTAAAACAAGCTGACAGCATGAAAGACTAAAACAGGTGACAGCATGAAAGACTAAAACAAGGTGACAGCATGAAAAACAAACAGGTGACAGCATGAAAGACTAAAACAGGTGACAGCATGAAAAACTAACAGGTGACAGCATGAAAGACTAACAGGTGACAGCATGAAAAACTAACAGGTGACAGCATGAAAAACTAAAACAGGTGACAGCGCACCTTCAAACTTATGAAAACATGATACTATAAGTGACACAATGACACATATGAAATGTTTCATATCTGCGCAAAGGTATAAACACAAAACTGATTATCAGCAGAGGTGGGTAGTAACGACTTACATTTACTCCGTTACATGTAGCTCAGTTAAATTTTTAACCTCCTTAACTAACTTATTTATAGCCTATTGATTTAACATCTTTTTAATCCATGTACTTCTTTAATTAAATTGCAGTCTTTTGATAAGGGAATAAAGCCATATGGTGCTTTCGATTTTAGTCTGTTTGAAAGATACTTTGCCAAATCAATGGTGAAAAACAATGACATTTAATGTTATAATGAGAAGTTTGAGAATGTTTTATCATCATTAGGAAACTGTAGAGGAACAGATTAGACTCTGCTGGGCCGCACTGGACTGGGAAAACAGGAAACACTGGACTTTATATGAAGTCATATCCCTATTTACATTCAAACATGTGGTCATTTTAATGTGATATCATTAGTGTTAGTACAATAAACTGGTTGCTAATGCCAACCAACATTGTCATGCACCGATGTCTTTTTGGCTATTTGGAGTAAAGCATGTTACCAAACTATGAAAACTTTTTTTTAACCACCAATGGAAGCAGGCTATTATTTAACTGACCTCTACATCAGGGGTCCTCAACTGCATTTGTTCTAAGCAGACACTGTGCGGGCCCGACTTTCAGTTGCCAAATTACTGTTTCATATTTTCAACTTTCGCAAAATGAACATTTTCATTAGCTTATATCAGTGTGAACAGACTCCTCAAAAACATGGCAGGCCTAATTCCATAATGAAAAATCTACATAGACCTACTTAGATGCTCTCAGACCACAGCCAAAGAGTTCACTGAGGAGTGATGGTTAAAATCTGTAAAATAGTAAATGTCACTCTGATTGGCTTTCATTAACCAGTTTTGATACTATTATGCAGCCGCTCATTGTGCACGAGACACCTGTAGTTACTATGGTAACAACAGATGCCTTTTAATACCACAGGGTACACAAGTATACGCGGAGGCAGCGTGGGCGCACGGGGCAGTCGATCTAGGGCCCCGGCTGGTAGGGGACCCGCTACGTGGATTAAGAAGTTTTGCGCAGTTGATTATAGTGGACACAAACAAACAGCACTATGGGAGAATTCAGCATCAAATGAAACAGACTCCTGGTTTCAACAGTAAACCACCACAACAAGGACAAATACCAACAAATACAGACACGTTTTAATAAACAGAAATCATAACGTAACATTTGTATTTCAAACAAATGGCAAACTTATTAGCACATTTTAACAAAACCCCCTTCACCCTCAGGCTTCATGGGAATTCTGAGGAAGGGCGTCGCTGCGTGTACGGGTATTTTATTTTGAAAATTGACCGTTTCTCTGCCGTTTCTGTGTCTGACTTCCTGCCCGGTTCATGTGCTCTGTGCAGCTTGACGCTGGGACGCTTCCTGGACGCACTGCAGAGCTTCTGGTGTGAACACAAACATTTAGTAGAAAGGCTGCTCCGGCAGCAGCGAAGCAGACTGACTCTGTGGACTTTCGGAGTGAGTCTGGGGTCATGTAAACTTAATATTAGTTAATATGACTTTGTAGCAGGTGGGCCCACGATGAAGCTCCGCCCCCACTGTGCTGACAGTCTGGGATGAGATCGTGCTGGTGCTGCACTGAGCTGAAAGAGAGCCCTGTCTGTTGTGTTAGTGCTAAAATAATAAATAGCTAAATACAGTTTATCATGCTGGAAAACTCCTCCTGCTTTCTGCCTTAATGCAAAGTCAGGAAGTCTGCATTTAACTAGTCATGCTTATCTCGGGCTGCACCCGCCTGCAGTGTTACCTGTGCATGTGTTCTATCTGTTATGCTGCGGATTGGCTGTGCGGTAAAGGAAAGTCCCGCCTAGTTCCTGGGTTTCCCTGCAACGGGGACGACGATTGGTGCGGCATGCCACCGCTGGCCCAATCCAGGAGCTCCAGCGAAGTCCACCTCCGGCTCAAATAGCCTACTTGGACTGCAGGTCAGGGCAGCTGCCTCAGAGCTTTTTGCCTTGTAGTGTTTGTTGTTTAGCCTTGATAGACACTGTTGTACGTGGTCCTGTTAGAACTGTGCAAAGGTGAGGAAGTGGGCCAGGTATCGAGTCCTAAAACTGATACCGCTGTAGCACACAGTAGTTTGGTTTCTGTTTAGTTCCACTAGGTTCAGGGGTGCTGTGCGCTTTGTGTGTTGGATTTTAGTTAGAGAGCTTTTTGGATTACCCTTTTTTGTTTAGTTGTAGTTAGATTAGTAACCCTCCTTTATTGATTTCCGCAGCACCCAAAGGCCCATTTTCTGTTGTGAGCTCTGTTTGCCTTTTTTTAAAATAAATATCCTTTCAAATACCAATAACATCTGGTTTATGTTAATGGCCCGCTGCCCGTAGACACTTCGGGATGTAACACTGATGAACACAGACCAGAAACTCTCTCATTTCATGTGGATGTTGTAGCAAACCTAGATTTAGTTATGCATTTTAATAAATTTATGAGAATTAATACCCACTTATGAATTTTAATATTCAGGTTTCCCAAGGGACTGCCTTTCTAAACTTAAACAACTTAACTTAAACAATTGTCACATTATTGGTCAGGATATTTATACATTAACGGCATTTCCAATGAGGGTATGTAATACTTATTTCGTCCACTTGGGGGAGCTCAGGTTACATGAGGAAGCTTAGATTAATCCAAGATCATCTCTCCTTAGGAACCGGGGAATTATTGTTGATTCATCCTTAAATCCAAGCTGGCGATTAAGAGTATAGTAAAACATTCCTTTGTCATCATTTCTAAAGGAATTTTGAACAAGCATTGATTACATTAGATGAAGGAGTGTCTCGCTGAAAATAAAAACACTGCAAAAGTAACTAATCTAGACTCACTAATATAGCACTAATATCAACAACAGATAGTAACAACATGTTAACATAACTACTCAAATAGAGGCAAACGTAATCAGGTAACTAAAGATTTAATTAAACTTAATTAAATACTTTGAGTCTTTGGAGTCTTTGGTTATTGAAAGTTCAGCTCTCTGGATCATGTCACACTGGGTGAGACAGGGGTTAGTCCCTTTGATGGGTAATAAAACAAAGAGCAAGGTCAGTTGCCACGGAAACATGTGTGGGGGGGCCAGTTTTGATAGGCTGTTCAGGGAAATGCTAATCGCTGGTTCGTGTCCCTTTGTCAGTTTAACAGTCAGGCCCCGCGTTATCAGCTTTGGAATCAAAAGGGAGCCAGTTTTATGGTCAGGGATAGCACTTAGAGAAAGCAACTTTGACCCCATTTTCTTCTCTGGGAGAGGAGAGGGGAATTTGGAGTAGCTCCAAATTTATTCAATATAAATTGCACAAATCCACACCGTTGTTCACTACAATGTGACTGATGGATCAACCACAGATGACCTTCCTCAGGGTAAAGTGAAGAAGGGAACACACCTGTATTTAACAGGCAATAACATAGAAATCTTCTAATCTGATTTGTTTGCCAAACCAAACCAAAAAGTTAATATCAAAGACAACAATTATATATCTACATATATATATTTAAACAATCTTTACTTATTGGAGTACTAACAGACTATAATATGAATGCAACATTTTGTAATCACACAGCGGGAATGTTGTCCTGGTGTAAATGTGGCAGCTTCATCAGGAGATGAGGACTAATTTCATCACAAATAAATGTTCACTGGGTGTTTGATAAAACAAAACATTATTTAGTTTTACAGATGATAAAATTACCAGATGCCTTCACTGAGCCGTCCCACAGCAGGTTTATCTTATGAGTCTCACAGGTCACCTTTCTGTTTTGCTGATATTAGTTCAGTTTATTAGATGTGTTTATTCATAGTATTTGCTTTTTCTGATTTAACAAGTACAAAATTGCCCATTGTAGTTAATTCCCATATTATCTTTCAGTGTTCACAAACAGGTGGGAAATCCTCCTCCACTAATCAGATGTTTAAGTTAAAGTCTTGTTTACTGAATTTCATGTCACTATTTCAGTAGAAGTTTATTATGAATGAGTAATTATTCAAATTAGATGTGTTTTTTAAATGTTATTCACAGCTGCAGCTAATAAATATCTTCATTACTGATTAAGCTGACAGGTCTTCTCTCTATTGATGATCGTTTGGTTTATAAAATGGCAGAAACAACAAACATAAGAAACTCAGATATTTTCAGTTTGCAACAGAGAGAAGCCAGTTATTGATTATTGATGGATCTGATCAGTCGACTCTAAATGAGTCTCAACTAACTTCCTGCAAACTTCTCTGTTATTGTTTAGTTGCTCCCTTTTTCTTCACCTGCTCAGGTTTATGACCAACTCTCTTCCTTGTTCAGTCTAACTTCATCTGGCTGAATAGTTCTGCAATAAATACGACTTTTAATGAGCTTCTCAAATGTCTTTAGATTTTATAATATATCAGGTTAAATTATTAATTGGTCATTAAATAAAACTAATTTTCTTGAATCTTTTAAATTTCTACAGAAAACATTTGTGCTTTTCAACTGTAGGTCAGCTTTTAAATGTTAAAGGTTTGATGTAGCAGTTATCTGAAGGAAAAAAAAAGGTCTGTGAGCTCAGAACCAGGAAAGAAGAGTCACACAACAACAGGAAGTCACACACACCTTTGGACATCTCCCTGACAAACTGCCTTACCTAATCCTCTGACATTAGACTGACTGTAATCTGAACGCTAAAACAAGTCTTAACCTTCAAAAACTTTCTCTGTCCACATGGACACGAGTCCTCATTGTCTCAGGATAAAGTCCCCAACAAGATGTAAAAACACTCACAGTGCTGAGTTCCTCTAAGGTTTCTTTCCTCTCCAGTCCACAGGGAGAAAACTGCCTCAGAGACTTTGACAGTAACATAATAAAATGTTGGATTAACACTCACCCTGCCTCAGCCTTCAGTTCTGGGACTCTAACTGAACTCTTTCTGCTTCAGCTTCCTCCCTGTTCTCACCTGATCAGTGTAGCTCCTCCCCTCTGCATTTACTGGAAACCAGGGGAGTTTCTGTGTGTGTGTGTGTGTGTGTGTGTGTGTGTGTGTGTGTGTGTGTGATTCATGTTTTTATATCCTGGTGGGGACTTGAATCTGAATGTAACCATGGGGACAAAAAATTACGGTTAAGACTTGGTTTTAGGGTTCAGATTGTGATTAGTTTCAGGTAGATGTGATGGTTCAGGGAATGTGAATAAGATGTCCCCACAGGGGTAGAGAAACAAGTATCTGTGTGTCTGTGTGTGCGCTAACAGCTAGCAGCTAACAGCTAACAGCTAGCAGCTAACTAACCCTTTTAGTAAGAGCGGTTCACTCACAGCTAACAAAGCTAACATCCAACAAATCAGATGTTAGCTGTGACAATAACAGCCAATAAATAATAATGTAACACTGACAGGTTTCATTCTGCAGCAGAATGAGGAGGCCGACTTTTCCTTTGGATCCTTCAGCTACATTTTACTGCTGATACTTCTGTTCCCCTTCGAGGGAACTCGAACTGCGTCGGTTACGACACTATGGGAACGCCTCTAGGCGAAGCAGGTCTGAACGTGAATGAAATCACTCCAATCCTATTGGCTTGTTGCTAGAACGGTAAGGTGTGACGGAATAACCGGAGGAGTATAAAGCACACCTGTACACACTCATCATTAGCTTTTTTTTATTCAGCAGGCGCTCTGTATGTTGTTTGAAGAAAGCTCCAGTCCTACAAGCAGTGTGTCTTACCTGAAGAAGAAGTCTACCAGCATGTCCGGCAACCAGATGTACAGAAGGTGTGTTTTTTCTTGCCCTCGGTACATCACGGATGGAGATTCTCATGAGATGTGTGTCTCGTGTTTGGGGATGGAGCACGCACGGGCAGCTCTCGAGGGGGCTGCCTGCGCCCGTTGCGAAGCCCTTTCCGTGCGGGTACTGAGGTACAGTATGGCTCTCTTTTCCGAGGATGGCCGGATGTGTTTTCCCCGAGGCGCGGGCCCTGCGGCCGCTGAGGCGGCCCGGCGGCTTCACTCATGGGGTTCACAGCGTGATCTGTCGGAGGATTTCGGGACGGCTGAGGCTTTTTCCCGACCTTCATCCGCTGGCTCCGACGCTTCCTTTCCTCGTTCGGGAGCCCGTTCTCGGCTTCTCCCGCTCGCGTTTTGGATCCGGAGACGCTGCAGCAATCCGACTCCGAGGAGGCGGACGTGCTCAGCGCAGTGGACGATGACTTCCGGGTGTCGGGGCGGCGTCATCAGGCAGCGCCCGACTATGACGTGCTGCTGGAGGTGGTGACTAGAGCCGTGGCTAAGCTCAACATCAACTGGCCACAGGAGGAGCAGACACCACAGGCTAGTGGTAGCTTGATGAAAGGTTTCTTAAGCACCACACGCCACCTCCACGCCGGTCTCTGCCATTCTTTCCTGATTTACATGATGAACTGAGTAAATCATGGGGCAGACCCTTCTCTACATGGCTTTCCACACCCCGATCACTGAACTACAGTAATGTGATGGGGGTTAGGGACCGTGGTTATGGGAGGAGGCCTCGGGTGGAGGATGAGCTTGCGAGCTATCTCTCCCCTCGACTTGCGTCCTCCCTGGAGAAGCCGGCGTTACCATCCAAACCATGTCGCACCACATCCACGCTTGTGGGGAAGGCGTACATGGCAGCGGGCCAGGCAGGTGCGAGCTTGCACACCACGGTGCTTCAAGCCTACCAAGCCAACCTGCTACAGAAGATCTGGCAGGAGCTTCGCAGAACCACGAAGCGTTAGACGCAGTGTGAAGCGTTCCGCCAGTACCTCCCTCGCCGGTCTGGACCCAAGGCAGCTGAGGCTGCCAGGCGTAGGTCCCTTCCCTCTACGAGCTCCTACGGAGAGGAGGGAAGCAGAGTGTCGCTTCTCGGGGCCCCCCCGAGGAGCTGGGGCAGCGAGACGGCGCTCTCACCCTCAGCCGTCTGAGAGACGCGATCTGAGGACCGTCATCCAGTCCCAAAGACGGAGCTCAGGGAAGACCGGGGTAGGGGAGTCTTTCTCCCCTCCCGCACCCCCCCCACCCCCCCGGAGGCCGACCGAGGTCCCCTCCGCCGTGGCAACAGGTGATGTTATCCCGCCGTTTACACGTTCAGGACGCACCTGCCACCATCGAGTCCGCGCCGTACTGCCTGCCCCGAGGGTCTGCAGGCGGACGGCATCCCGACTCACTCACCGTGGATCTTCGGCGGCTCCCCCCTGCCGTTCTGGGGCTTCAGGGGTCCACCAGAAGATCACATGAGACACCGACCACCAGCCCCGAGGGGCTGGTTCCGTTGGCAGACTTTGCAGACGCTTGGCGGAGCCTGACGAACATTTCTCCGCGGGTCCTGCGCACTGCCATAGATGGGTATCGACTACAGTTCAAAACCCGCCCTCCAAATTCAACAGAAGAGAGGGGGTGGTTTGGACTGTGGTCCGCCCGGAGCAAGGTCCGGTGTTGGGACAGGAAGTTTGTACTCTGCTGAGGAAAGGGGCCGTGGAACGTGTCTCCCCCCAGACAGAGACGCCGGTTCTACAGCCGGTACTTCATAGTCCCCAAGAAGGACGGAGGGCTGCGTGCCCTATTTTGGATCTGCGGGTTCTAACCGGTCTCTGAGGAGATTCAGGTTAAAGATGCTCATCATCCCCGCCACCGTGACGCACATCCAATCTGAGGATTGGTTCGTCACGATAGATCTAAAGGACGCCTATTTCCAGGTCTCCATCCGTCCTTCTCACAGGAAGTTCCTGAGGTTTGCCTTCGGGGGTGTGGCTTACCAGTATCGGGTTCTTCCATTCGGCCTGGCACTTTCCCCTCGCACATTCACCAAGTGTATGGATGCAGCACTGGCCCCACTGAGGCTCCGGGGCATCCGGATTTCAACTTCATCGACGACTGGCTCATCCTAGCCCAGTCTCGAGAGTTGGTGGTTCGGCATCGAGATGTCGTTCTGGCTCGTCTGCGGCGTTTAGGGCTGAGGCTCAACGCAAAGAAGAGCGTGCTGGCGCCCACCCTACGGGCTACGTTCCTAGGGGTTGCATGGGATTCGACAACGATGCGGGCACAATTGTCTCCGGCACGTGTCGACACCATATTGGCTGCCGTGAAAGGGGTGAAGTTAGGCCACGCCATCACTATGAAACACTTTCAACGAGTGTTGGGTCTCCTGGCAGCTGCGTCCAGCGTAATACCATCTGGACTGCTGCACATGAGACCCCTGCAGTGGTGGCTAAGGAACAAGGGTTTTTCCCCAAGGGGAATCCTCTCCGTCTGGTTTGGGTTACGCGCAAGTGTCTTCGTTCCCTATCAGTTTGGAAGGAAACTTGGTTCCTGTCCCAGGGGCCCGTGCTGGGAGGGTCTTGTCGCCGGCTGGTTCTTTCGACAGACGCCTCCCTCACGGGCTGGGGCGCGGTCATGGACGGCCGCTTTGCAAGGGGATCCTGGCAGGTGCATCGATCCGAGTGGCATATCAACTGTCTCGAGATGTTGGCGGTGTTCCAGGCTCTAAGGAGTTTCCTGCCCGATCTCCAAGGCCACCACGTCCTGGTTCGTTCCGAGGAGAACAACACAGCGGTGGTGGCCTATCTGAATCACCAGGGCGGTCTGCGCTCGCGCCCTCTGGACAGACTGGCGCGTCAGATCCTCCTGTGGTCCCAGCAGAGGTTACTATCGCTCAGGGCGATGTATCTCCTGGGGACGCAGAATCAGGGAGCAGACCTGCTGTTGAGGCAGGGGCTGAGGCCCGGGGAATGGAGACTTCACCCCGAAGTGGTGGAGCTCTTGTGCGAAGAGTTCGGCCCCATAGACGTGGATCTGTTTGCGTCTCAAGAGACTACGCACTGCCCGCTATGGTTTCTCTCGTTCCTCCAGCCCCGTTGGGTCTGGACGCCATGGTACATTCGTGGCCGAGGCTACGTCTGTACGCTTTTCCCCCAGTCGCTCTGCTCCCGGGGTTCTGGAGCGGGTCCGCCAGGACTATGTCGGCCTACTGCTCGTAGCCCCGTTCTGGCCAACCCGGGTGTGGTTCTCGGACATCATGTCGCTCCTGGACGGCCCGCCGTGGCGGGTCCCTCTGAGGAGAGACCTGCTGTCCCAGGCGCAGGGCCGGGTTCTTCACCCTTGCCCGCCATATGGCGACTGTGGGTCTGGCCCCTGAGGGGGCACAGTACCTAGAGGCGGGTCTAACAGCCGGAGCAGTCGAGACCCTCCTGAGCTCCAGGGCCCCGTCCACACGGAGGATGTACGGCCTGAAGTGGAGTGTTTTCTCCACTTGGTGTAGGGAGCAGTCGGTGGACCCTGTTACCTGCCCGGTGGTTCAGGTACTTGAGTTCCTCCAGGACCGGTTCTCTGCTGGTCTTTCCCCTTCCACCCTCAAGGTGTACGTGGCAGCTATTTTCTCTTTCCACACCCCTTTGAGGGAGGGGTTCTTGGGGAAACTTCCCTTGGTTGTACGTTTCCTCCGTGGTGCCCGGAGGATGAGACCTGCGACTCGGTCCAAGGTTCCCACTTGGGATCTGGCAGTGGTTCTTGGGACGGTGGCTGAGGCCCCCTTCAAACCCCTGGAGTCAGCTGAGGCTAAGCACTTGACCGTCAAGATGGCCTTTCTCCTTGCTATCACCTCTCTGAGGAGGGTGGGGGATCTCCAAGCGCTTTCGGTTTCCCCGCAAAGCCTGGAGTTTGCCCCGGGGAATATTAGGGCTATCCTGCACCCTCGTTCAGGATACATCCCTAAAGTGCCTTCTTGTGTGGCAGGGTCCACAGTGCTGCAGGCATTTCATCCTCCACCTCATGTGACGGCGGAGGACGGGAGACTTCATCTGCTCTGCCCTGTCAGAGCACTGAGTATTTACACTCTGAGGTCCTCCCGTTGGAGGAAGGCTGACCAGCTGCTAGTGTGTTTTGGGTCTCCCAGGGCCGGGCTCCCTGCATCCAAACATACTATTAGCAACTGGATT